CACAACTATCGCACGATAATGGGCAGGTGTATATTGGGCCCCAATCACACCTCCGGTATATTTCAGGTGCGATTAGAGATTCCTGCGTCCGGAACTTGCGTTTTCCTGCGGCAGGAATCCCTAATCTGCCGTTTACAAGCGGCAACTATCATAAGTTTATTTAAGAGGGTGTGTTTAGGGGCGGAGTTACGGCCGGGGCAGGGTAAGGTGGGGCAACTGGTGGCTAGTGACTCTTAAGGCCGGGCTAGTAGCTCAGGACTTGACAGGGGGAAAGCTGAGACTGAACGTGAAGCTTCGGTCACTAGAGATACAGAAACCGTCATGGCCGCCCTCACTCTGAAGACGCGTGCGACTCGATCACTTCAATGCTTTCCGAGACACGGACTGCAATGTGTGCGACTCCGGCTCTGACTAACCAATCCCCGGACTCTGAGAGGATCAGAATGACAGCCAGGCGACCAGCATTTTCAGGAGGAGCCTCGACCCGCCCCCTTACCCGTCCTCCGAGAGAGGCTGAGACTTCCCATCGCCTGTCTGTACCGCCGAGACTCATCTTCAGCCACTTCATTGATGTCCGAGTAATCGATGGCGTCATCCGTACTCTTCACCCATCCTAGGGGACAGAGATGATGATGATGATGACTCCGCCCCCTCAGATCACCCCCACCGTGTAACATACACGGCACACACGCAGACAATGCATACATGACATACACGGCACACACGCAGACAATGCATACATAACATGTACGGCACATGTAAACAATGCATAGATCACATACATGACACACACACAGACAATGCATATATCAAATACATGACACACACAATGCATACATAACATACATGACACACACGCAGACAATGCATACATAACATGTACAGCACATGTAAACAATGCATATATCACATACATGACACACAGACAATACATACATAACATACAGGACCCGCACACATGCAATGTCTCAGCAGGCGTGTAGTATGATTGGGGTCATGTGATTACCGTCCTCGTCCAGGCTGATCCCGTCCGTCTCCGGCGCGTCATCTACACTGGATGTGATCTCAGTGATGAGACTTCCCAGGCCGAGCGCCCCCAACCCCGCCAGGTGCTTCTTCGACTCCTGACACGGGAGAAGACAAGCATGTAGACGTGTGAGAAAGTAAGTACACCCTCCTCATACAAACCTCCTGCTCCTCAGAATGTAAATACAACAACACGTGACCTCTCTGCAGCACACGGGTCGGGGTCAGACTCCTATGTACAGGAAGTGACCCCCCGGCTTTGCTCGTCTTATATTCTGATGAACCTCAGAGAATGGAACTCACTCATTACATGTGAAGGGCGGTAAGTACATCCTGAGCCTGACCTCTCCCTGAATGAAGGAACACCGCCCCCCCAGTACACAGCAGTCGTGCAGGGGTATCATAGTGTGGGGTGTCCCTGTACCCCTCTCCCCACCCCGGGCTCACCTTGTCCAGCACACAGTCATCCTCCAGCTGTCCGTCCTCATTAATATTCCCGAACAAGAACCCGGCCAGAGAGAACGGCCTCTCCTCATCACTCTCCGAGTCCGACATCACCGAGGCCACAAACCGGAACTTCCGCTCCGTGGAACGCACACACTTCCGCTTCCGGGAGACAGGGGCCGTGTGCCAATAGACAGAGGCGGGGGGAGACGAAGGAAGGGCCCCTCAGGGAGAGGAGGAAGGATGGAGAGGGGCCCTCAGGGAGGAGGGGTGAGTTCTCACGGGAAGAGATGTATTATCATATACCAGGAAGAACACTCATCATGTCCGGGGTATTTCACACAGATCATCTCATCTACTACTACCCTCATCATCCTCCTCCCCCCCTCAGCTGCAACTTTTATTATAATGATCTCTGGTGACTCCGCCATGGAGGTCCTTGTTCAGGCACTTCCTGTTATAGGGTGACAACACTCTGTCCTTGTTCAGGTACTTCCTGTTAAAGGGTGACAACACTCTGTCCTTGTTCAGACACTTCCTGTTATAGGGTGACAACGCTCTGTCCTTGTTCAGACACTTCCTGTTATAGGGTGACAACGCTCTGTCCTTGTTCAGACACTTCCTGTTATAGGGTGACAACGCTCTGTCCTTGTTCAGACACTTCCTGTTATAGGGTTACAACGCTCTGTCCTTGTTCAGACACTTCCTGTTATAGGGTGACAGCACTCTGTCCTTGTTCAGACACTTCCTGTTATAGGGTGACAACGCTCTGTCCTTGTTCAGACACTTCCTGTTATAGGGTTACAACACTCTGTCCCTGTCTCCTATTTGTGCTTCTGTGTTGAATAATGCCATGACATTCCTCAGGGCGGGTTTCCTCATGGTGACAACAGTGGACCATGTCTGTGTAATGTGTGATGAAACAGACCCCTGTAGTCTCAATCAGAAGCCCATGTGTCAGGGTGACACTGCAGGAGAACAGTTGGGAGACAAGGACAGAGTGTTGTCACCTGTCTGCTTATGAACATGGCCTCCCCCTGTAGCCCCGCCCTTATTTCTGACCTGGGAGTTATACCTTGGCTGCAGAACTTCACTGGATGTCTGCTCCCTACACCACCCATGTCCTTCCGCTCCCTACACCACCCATGTCCTTCTGCTCCCTACACCACCCATGTCCTTCTGCTCCCTACACCACCCATGTCCTTCCGCTCCCTACACCACCCATGTCCTTCCGCTCCCTACACCACCCATGTCCTTCCGCTCCCTACACCACCCATGTCCTTCCGCTCCCTACACCACCCATGTCCTTCCGCTCCCTACACCACCCATGTCCTTCCGCTCCCTACACCACCCATGTCCTTCCGCTCCCTACACCACCCATGTCCTTCCGCTCCCTACACCACCCATGTCCTTCCGCTCCCTACACCACCCATGTCCTTCCGCTCCCTACACCACCCATGTCCTTCCGCTCCCTACACCACCCATGTCCTTCCGCTCCCTACACCACCCATGTCCTTCCGCTCCCTACACCACCCATGTCCTTCCGCTCCCTACACCACCCATGTCCTTCCGCTCCCTACACCACCCATGTCCTTCCGCTCCCTACACCACCCATGTCCTTCCGCTCCCTACACCACCCATGTCCTTCCGCTCCCTACACCACCCATGTCCTTCCGCTCCCTACACCACCCATGTCCTTCCGCTCCCTACACCACCCATGTCCTTCCGCTCCCTACACCACCCATGTCCTTCCGCTCCCTACACCACCCATGTCCTTCCGCTCCCTACACCACCCATGTCCTTCCGCTCCCTACACCACCCATGTCCTTCCGCTCCCTACACCACCCATGTCCTTCCGCTCCCTACACCACCCATGTCCTTCCGCTCCCTACACCACCCATGTCCTTCCGCTCCCTACACCACCCATGTCCTTCCGCTCCCTACACCACCCATGTCCTTCCGCTCCCTACACCACCCATGTCCTTCCGCTCCCTACACCACCCATGTCCTTCCGCTCCCTACACCACCCATGTCCTTCCGCTCCCTACACCACCCATGTCCTTCCGCTCCCTACACCACCCATGTCCTTCCGCTCCCTACACCACCCATGTCCTTCCGCTCCCTACACCACCCATGTCCTTCCGCTCCCTACACCACCCATGTCCTTCCGCTCCCTACACCACCCATGTCCTTCCGCTCCCTACACCACCCATGTCCTTCCGCTCCCTACACCACCCATGTCCTTCCGCTCCCTACACCACCCATGTCCTTCCGCTCCCTACACCACCCATGTCCTTCCGCTCCCTACACCACCCATGTCCTTCCGCTCCCTACACCACCCATGTCCTTCCGCTCCCTACACCACCCATGTCCTTCCGCTCCCTACACCACCCATGTCCTTCCGCTCCCTACACCACCCATGTCCTTCCGCTCCCTACACCACCCATGTCCTTCCGCTCCCTACACCACCCATGTCCTTCCGCTCCCTACACCACCCATGTCCTTCCGCTCCCTACACCACCCATGTCCTTCCGCTCCCTACACCACCCATGTCCTTCCGCTCCCTACACCACCCATGTCCTTCCGCTCCCTACACCACCCATGTCCTTCCGCTCCCTACACCACCCATGTCCTTCCGCTCCCTACACCACCCATGTCCTTCCGCTCCCTACACCACCCATGTCCTTCCGCTCCCTACACCACCCATGTCCTTCCGCTCCCTACACCACCCATGTCCTTCCGCTCCCTACACCACCCATGTCCTTCCGCTCCCTACACCACCCATGTCCTTCCGCTCCCTACACCACCCATGTCCTTCCGCTCCCTACACCACCCATGTCCTTCCGCTCCCTACACCACCCATGTCCTTCCGCTCCCTACACCACCCATGTCCTTCCGCTCCCTACACCACCCATGTCCTTCCGCTCCCTACACCACCCATGTCCTTCCGCTCCCTACACCACCCATGTCCTTCCGCTCCCTACACCACCCATGTCCTTCCGCTCCCTACACCACCCATGTCCTTCCGCTCCCTACACCACCCATGTCCTTCCGCTCCCTACACCACCCATGTCCTTCCGCTCCCTACACCACCCATGTCCTTCCGCTCCCTACACCACCCATGTCCTTCCGCTCCCTACACCACCCATGTCCTTCCGCTCCCTACACCACCCATGTCCTTCCGCTCCCTACACCACCCATGTCCTTCCGCTCCCTACACCACCCATGTCCTTCCGCTCCCTACACCACCCATGTCCTTCCGCTCCCTACACCACCCATGTCCTTCCGCTCCCTACACCACCCATGTCCTTCCGCTCCCTACACCACCCATGTCCTTCCGCTCCCTACACCACCCATGTCCTTCCGCTCCCTACACCACCCATGTCCTTCCGCTCCCTACACCACCCATGTCCTTCCGCTCCCTACACCACCCATGTCCTTCCGCTCCCTACACCACCCATGTCCTTCCGCTCCCTACACCACCCATGTCCTTCCGCTCCCTACACCACCCATGTCCTTCCGCTCCCTACACCACCCATGTCCTTCCGCTCCCTACACCACCCATGTCCTTCCGCTCCCTACACCACCCATGTCCTTCCGCTCCCTACACCACCCATGTCCTTCCGCTCCCTACACCACCCATGTCCTTCCGCTCCCTACACCACCCATGTCCTTCCGCTCCCTACACCACCCATGTCCTTCCGCTCCCTACACACATCTACTACTACCCTCATCATCCTCCTCCCCCCCTCAGCTGCAACTTTTATTATAATGATCTCTGGTGACTCCGCCATGGAGGTCCTTGTTCAGGCACTTCCTGTTATAGGGTGACAACACTCTGTCCTTGTTCAGGTACTTCCTGTTAAAGGGTGACAACACTCTGTCCTTGTTCAGACACTTCCTGTTATAGGGTGACAACGCTCTGTCCTTGTTCAGACACTTCCTGTTATAGGGTTACAACACTCTGTCCCTGTCTCCTATTTGTGCTTCTGTGTTGAATAATGCCATGACATTCCTCAGGGCGGGTTTCCTCATGGTGACAACAGTGGACCATGTCTGTGTAATGTGTGATGAAACAGACCCCTGTAGTCTCAATCAGAAGCCCATGTGTCAGGGTGACACTGCAGGAGAACAGTTGGGAGACAAGGACAGAGTGTTGTCACCTGTCTGCTTATGAACATGGCCTCCCCCTGTAGCCCCGCCCTTATTTCTGACCTGGGAGTTATACCTTGGCTGCAGAACTTCACTGGATGTCTGCTCCCTACACCACCCATGTCCTTCCGCTCCCTACACCCCCCATGTCCTTCCGCCCCCCGCTCCCTACACCACCCATGTCCTCCCGCTCCCTACACCACCCATGTCCTCCCGCTCCCTACACCACCCATGTCCTCCCGCTCCCTACACCACCCATGTCCTCCCGCTCCCTACACCACCCATGTCCTCCCGCTCCCTACACCACCCATGTCCTCCCGCTCCCTACACCACCCATGTCCTCCCGCTCCCTACACCACCCATGTCCTCCCGCTCCCTACACCACCCATGTCCTCCCGCTCCCTACACCACCCATGTCCTCCCGCTCCCTACACCACCCATGTCCTCCCGCTCCCTACACCACCCATGTCCTCCCGCTCCCTACACCACCCATGTCCTCCCGCTCCCTACACCACCCATGTCCTCCCGCTCCCTACACCACCCATGTCCTCCCGCTCCCTACACCACCCATGTCCTCCCGCTCCCTACACCACCCATGTCCTCCCGCTCCCTACACCACCCATGTCCTCCCGCTCCCTACACCACCCATGTCCTCCCGCTCCCTACACCACCCATGTCCTCCCGCTCCCTACACCACCCATGTCCTCCCGCTCCCTACACCACCCATGTCCTCCCGCTCCCTACACCACCCATGTCCTCCCGCTCCCTACACCACCCATGTCCTCCCGCTCCCTACACCACCCATGTCCTCCCGCTCCCTACACCACCCATGTCCTCCCGCTCCCTACACCACCCATGTCCTCCCGCTCCCTACACCACCCATGTCCTCCCGCTCCCTACACCACCCATGTCCTCCCGCTCCCTACACCACCCATGTCCTCCCGCTCCCTACACCACCCATGTCCTCCCGCTCCCTACACCACCCATGTCCTCCCGCTCC